TAAATATAACCCTTAACCTAACCCCAACCCCAACCCTAAACCTAACCCTTAACCTAACGAAAAACCTAAATATAACCCTTAACCTAACCCCAACCCCAACCCTAAACCTAACCCTTAACCTAACGAAAAACCTAACCCTAACCCTTAACCTAACCCCAACCCCAACCCTAAACCTAACCCTTAACCTAACGATAAACCTAACCCTAACCCTTAACCTAAACCTAACCCTTACCTTTATGTGAATCGGCTTGCTGTAATTTAATTTTTATTTCAATTTTTCGATCTTTTTCGTTGCGCTGTGATGACGTCACATACGCGCTTTCGTCGACCGCGCTTTTGTGGAACGCGGTTTTGATGGGTCACGGTCATAAATAACATGCTAGTTGCCAAGCACCCGAATGTTAAACAAGTGACCATGGGGATGCTGCAACGGTCATAAGTGTGACAAATAAGTCACTTTTTAAAGTGCCATTGCAACTTCAAACTGTCACATTAAAGAATGGTTGTAAGTTGAGGGCTACCTGTATTTTCAGCTAAGATTGGATACTACTGCTGCTTTAAATAAATAAACCCAGAACTGACTCTAGTGTTTTTTTAAAAAAGGGAACTTGCAAAGTTTTCACTTGAAGCATTATCCAAGGTAAGATTAGGTAATCTATTCCTATTTCCCTGATCTGCTTGGTTTGATGGGAAAGTTAGTCTTTTAGTAATAGCTAATAAGGATTAGTGGGGAGAAAGGGAAGTCAGAAGAGAAGGAAAAGTGTTTTGAAAGTGGGTTCCAAACTTTATACATTTGAGAATTGCTTCCATGTGTGAATCAACTGAACTTTCTAGCTGATGTTTCTCAAAATATATTTATGCCAGCGGAATAATTTCTATTGTTTCTATACTGTACTATACTTTCTATACTGAACAGATAGTCCTCAACTTATGACCACAATAGTCCAAAAGTTTGTTGTTAAGTAAGGAATTTGTCAAGTGAGTTTTGCCAAATTTTACAATTTTTCTCATCCCATTTGTTAAGTGAATCCCTGCACTTCTTAAACTAGTAACATGGTTTTTAAGTAAATCTGGTTTCCCCTTTGACTTGACTTCTCAGAAGGTTGTAGAGAGTGATCACATGACCCTGGGACACTGCAACCCGTGATAAAAGTGGGTCCGTTTTCAAGCATCCGAATATAAACCGCGTGACCATGGGGATGCTGCAGCAGTGTGAAAAATGGTCATAAGCCACTTTTTCTAGTGCCATTGTAACTTCACACAGTAACTAAGCAAACTGTCGTAAGTCGAGGACTACTGGTAATTGCATTCCCTCACTTCCACTATTGACGAAGCTTGATCAGTTTTGTTACAAAAATACCTCCTTGAAATGGATAGTAATTTTACTAGTATTCTGAAGAATGAATTCCTTTCTATGTTTTCCTTTTAGCAATTAAAATTGCAAGAACAATCTTCCCAGAATGGCAGTTGTGCTATATGTGAAGATATCAAATGTAATAGACATGGGTGAGTTAAAATATTTCAGGGGGGTACCGGTAATTATATTTGCATATCTTAATGGGGATGAATGGAATGGTTTTTTTTTTGTTTCTATAGACCTTCATCTCTATTAGAAGATTATCAGCCATGGTTGGGCCTGAAAGTTCCTTCTAAAGTTGATGCTTCCTTATCAGAGGTAATTGTTTAGCATCATCAGTTGTAGATAACTCATGTTACTCATTTTTTAAATCAGAGGTGGTTTTTTTAGTTGCAGCAGTATCAATTGCAATTCTTCTAAAAATGCTGAAACATAAACATTTATGTCATATTTTCCAAATCCCAAGGCGAAGAACAGTTTTCATTATTTTTACAGTTGCTACCTTGGTAGGATAGTCAATCCTTTCCTGCTCCTGATAACATAACAGCATTAGAAAATCCAAGTGCTACTATGCAAGTGTCTTTTAACCTGGATGCATGGAAGAATTTACCTAGTTATACAATATATAAATGGCTAGATAGGTGCAGATATTAGAAAATTAACAATGAAAGAAGATAAACAAATTAGAAACAATGTAAAGATATACATAAGAATATATATTGTAAAAAATAGTATTATCAAACTATAAGCGACGATAGATTAAAAGGTATAATGATAAAGGTATAGAGTGTTATGGCACAACTATGGAAATAATGGATAACTAAGTCGTAGAATATCATGTATTCAAAAAGAGATTATACTATATGATTAAGAGAATAATGGTTACAAATAGGGTGTACAACATCATGAATATATTTTAAAAGGATTTGATACAACCAGTATTCCACTGTTGCAAAATTGAAATTGTATGTATGTATGTATGTATGTATGTATATGTATATGTATATGTATTTACCTAGTTGTACTTTTGAACTTATACTATGTATAAGTTCAAAAGTATGAACATAGATTCAGGTATCCTTTGTAGTTATGTATGCTATTGAACATGTCCTTCAGTTGCATACCATGTCCTTAATTATCTCAATTACTATGAACAATCAACAAGCTCAGAGTGAAAAATATCTGTGTAGTGTTCTTGCATGTTTATATGTGCTGAGTATTATTGTTGGTTATTATACACATCTTAATTATTTTATTTGTTTTCAGATGTTTGAGCTAGTACTAGAAAATTTTATTTATCCTTGGTACAGGTAAGGTTCCTATACAATTTACCTTTGAAATTCCATTTGACCTCCCTAAGACAATGTTTTGTTACCTTTCAGGTTTATTTAGGTTGTTATGTATGTATACTTCTCAGGGGATAAAATCCATGATATCCAATATGACTTATTACAGGATAAGGACACCTAACTTTTTTCCCCTTTCCCTATCAATATATTGGTATTTTCAGTGTGAGCCAGAAACATGTATGTGTAGAATAGGGTTATAGTCATAAATATAAATAGGATTATAGTAGTAAATATGTATGTTGATAGGAGTTAACAGTAGGGTACCTCGCTTTATAGGCAATTGATTTTAATTGTTAGTTTAATTAATATTTAACCTTTTTGTCCTGATTCTGCCCTTTCTTGGGAGCAAATACAAGTNCGCTTTTGTGGAACGCGGTTTTGACGGGTCACGACTTATCCCAGCTTCTGCCAACCTAGCAGTTCAAAAGCATATAAAAATGCAAGTAGAAAAATAGGGACCACTTTTGGTGGGAAGGTAACAGCATTCTGTGCGCCTTTGGCATTTGGCCGCATGACCACAGAGATGTATTCGGACAGTGCTGGCTCTTTGGCTTTGAAATGGAGATGAGCACTGCCCTCTAGAGTCAGGAATGACTAGCATATATGTGCGAGGGAAACCTTTACCATTACCTTTTAAAGAAAGTTATGATGACAGCTTTTCACTCAGATTTGTTTGTGAACCACAGTAAAATCCAATTGCCAATGAACATGAAACAAGGTTTAAGTTCATAGTAAAGGTTAAGCCTATCTCTGCTTGGAGTCAGGGCCAAAATATGTTGTTAGTGGTCAATTCTTAGAGGTTCTTTTAAAAAAGAGAATGTGAAAGCTTTTTATTCGGAGTTCCTTGTGAACCACAGTAAAATTTAAGTAGACACTAAATGAATGGTTTTAAGTTGAGTAGTACCTATACTGTAAGGCCATCCTATCTGATTACACTTAATCCATCTATATTGTTTTAATTTGAACAAACTAGTTCTGGCATTCTCTGAGACAAAACTAACTTTGTCTATTGGAGGACATAGGAGGCACTCAAAAGGCAGAAGCCAATTAATACTGTGTGCCATTTGTCCAAATTGGAAAGATTTTTTCGTAGCATAATATTCAGTTTGAGAGCTCCCCGAGTCAATGATGGTCTTCCAAACCAAAGTAAAATTTCTGAATATTTAGGGAAATGAAAAAACTAGTGAGTTCCAGTCCCCATGACTCCTGAAAGTATAAATCAGTCTGGTTTGTCCTGAAATTTCCAAAAATTAAACTCTTACGCATCCTAGCAACCCTGAGCTAGAGTAACCAGAGGAGATGCTCATTTAGCTGAGGAAGAAATTTTAGAAATGTTGTTTCTCATCTCTGCATGGCAAGCTCTAGTAGACCATAACACTCTTTTGCAAAATGAAGAGTGAAAGTATGAAGGAATCAGTGACGTGCAGTCAGGGGAGGCAGGGGAGGCAGGGCCTCACCACTGTCATCGTGAAAAGAAAAGAAAAATAAAAGGAAAAATGCTGAGCTAGTTGCTGCCAGAGTCACAGTGGATGACTCTGCTTAGTGCTTAACTGTTTAAAAAAGCCTCTAAAAATTGCCCTCAGCCTCCTTTAGTCTATCTTTATGATCACTTGAGCAGAATTAGGCAAGGGTTAAAAGGCAAAAAATTCCTTATGTAGAGGAGGCACGTGGTTGTCTCGCCTCCTCCTGTAGAGGACACATTTTTAGAGGCTTTTTTTAAACAGTTAAGCAGAGTCGTCCATTGGAGACTCTACAGCAGCTAATCCAGCCTTACTTCAGCAACTCTTGCCTTTTTCTTTTTACATTTTTTACATTTTCATCATGGCAGACAAGAGGAGAGTTGAAATCCTCTGTGAAACAGCTGGAAAAGGTATGTGGGTCGGAGGAGGGGGAGGAATTCAAAATTATTGTAATTTATAAGTAATTGTAATTTGTATAATTATAAGTAATATTTGTGTGTGTGTGTGTTTGTATGTGTTTTACCCACCTCTGCTGGAGCACGGGCTGACACTTTATTTCCCAGCCCCGGGGCACCTTTCCGCGGTTGGCGAAGCTCCTGCTCTCCCCGCAAAAGGCAGCCT